AGTAAAATAGAGTAAAACAGAGTAAAACAGAGTAAAATAGAGTAAAATAGAGTAAAACAGAGTAAAATAGAGTAAAACAGAGTAAAATAGAGTAAAATAGAGTAAAACAGAGTAAAATAGAGTAAAATAGAGTAAAACAGAGTAAAATAGAGTAAAACAGAGTGGTGTCCGTTCTCACTTCTCGGTATTTCCGCTCCTCTCGCTCTTCTGTCCCTTTAAAAAACCCTTGGCGCGCGCTGATTGGCCGGATAAACCACGCCCCCTCACTCCCATTGGCCGCTCCTCCCCACGCCCCGCCCCCTCCGTTTCCCCGCCCTCGGGGCGGACCCGGGTGGGAACTGCGCCCCCTCGCGGACATTCCGGGAAAGGCGCGGGGCGGACGTGGTTGAGGACTGCGAGAGCGGGGTCCGCTTTAAGTGGAAAAAGGCGGATTTTGGGGCCGGTTTTGCAACGTTTCGCGTTAATAAAAAGCGGGTGTTTATAAAACCGAAGCTTAAAAGGTGCTTTTTAAAATCGTTGCTTTGTTATACGCCAAAACCAACCAGTCTGGGTGTATTGTCAGTGATTTGTGATGCCCCCAAACCACCGATTATTAATTGTGAATTAATAATTGTGTGTTAATCATTGTGTTAATAACTGATTTTTATATCCCAAACCCACCCTTTTGGGTGTACCGATGACTAATTTAATATATCCAAAATAATGGGGAGAACCCCCCAAAATCCTCTGGGGAGTTGGTGCCAACTCTTGGTAGGAGACCTGGTTGACCGAAACAACCCGAATTTTGGGGGATATCTCCATTTTTGACCTTTTATTCTGCAAAATAACCTTTCAGCACCGCGAGCGGCGGCGACCGAGCGACGCTCGGCTGGGGCACCAAAACTGCAGCAAACCCCTAAAATAACGAGGGGAACTCCCCCAAAACTTTGCCAGGAGCAGGTGCCAACTCCGAGCAGGAGCCACGGGTGGGAATTCTGAGGCGGAATTTCTGTTTTCGACCTTTTATTCTGCAAAACCACCTTTGGGCCCCTCCCAGCGAGCGGCGCTCGGCCCGGGGGCACCGAAACGGCACCAAACCCACCCCCAAACCCCTAAAAGAGGGGGAGAACCCCCCCAAAGTGCTTTGAGGGGGCCGGTGCTAACTCCAGGTGGGGTCGTAGCCCGTCCAGTCCTGGGGTGGGGCCAGGTAAACGCGGCGGCCCCGGTACACGAAGCTGACGATGCCGCGGTAGCCGGCGCGGGGGACGCCGGATTTGAGGTCGTCCATGAGCCCCAAAGCCTTGGCGAAGGCCTTGAAGGCGTCTCGGCCGCTGTACTGGAGCCTGACGGCCCCCAAATCCCTCCTCCTGTTGCCCTGGAGCTCCTCCACCCTCACCTCGGGCGCCGAGTAGACCCTGGGCAGGAAGGAGCGCTCGTACTCGTCCTTCTTGAGGTAAGAGAGGTCCAGCCGGGTGAAAGGCACGAAGCGGTCGTTGAGTTTGATGAACTTCAGGTACTGGTCGAAGAACTGGCCGTGGCTCACGCCCTTCCTGCCGAAGGTCATGGTGCGGGACACCTCGGGCCGGACGCACGAGCGGCCCCGGCGCTGCTCCGGCTGCCTCATCCAGTCGTCCCAGAACGCCCGCGGCCACTTGGGCTCCAGCTCGTCCCAGAGCTCGGCCAGCAGGAGCCAGCCCAGCCCGGGGAAGAAGTCGGTGCGGTAGAGCAGCTCGGCCTGCGACACGTCCACCATCTGCTCGCGGCCGTTGTCGTTCCAGGCCGAGACGCACCAGAGCGTGCGGTCGTCGCGCAGCAGCGGCAGCGCCGCCTCGAAGTACTCGAAGAAGTCCGGGGCCACCTCCAGGTCGTCCTCCACCACGATGGCGGCGCGGTAGCGGAAGACGCGGAACACCTGGCCCAGGGCCCAGCGGTAGTGCCGGGCGATGCGGTAGTAGCCCTGGAACTTGCGGTGCTCGGGGGGCACCGGGATGTCGCTGAGGTCGGGCTGCCGGATGTGGGCCACGGCGTCGCCGTAGGAGGCGATGACCCGCGCCGTCTCGGCGTGCCCGCAGTCCTGGCTCACGATCACCGGGTGCCGCCGGGCCGAGGGCCGGTAGCGCAGCAGCTTGTCCAGGCAGCGCCGCACCGTGCTGCGGTCGCACGCCAGCACCAGCACCGGCAGCGCCGCGTCCTCCTCCGAGCTCGGCGCCGCCACGGAACCCTTGGGAGGGGGGGTCGTCGGGGCCTTCTGGCGCCGCCGCCGCTGCTCCCAGAGCCCGCTGAGCCGGTGGATTTGGCGCAGCAGCTCCTTCTGCCGCTCCAGCTCGGCCTCGGCGTCCTGGGCCAGCCGGATGAGCTCCGAGGGCAGGCGGGAAGAGGAGCCCCCGGGAGGGGACGGGGGGCGGCTCCACAGGAAGAGCAGCAGGAGCCCGTTCCAGGCCAGGAAAAGAGCCGCCCCCCAGAGCGCCCAACTGCTCTTCTTCGGCATCCTTCAGAGCTCAGGGCCGGGCCATGGGGCTGGGGGGGACAGGGAGGGGGTCAGAGGGGAAAAAAGCCACTTAAAAGCCTCTTAAAATCCTCTTTTTACACCCATTTTACCCCCAGAATGACGCCCTGACACACAGCACCCAGAGCACCCAACTGCTCTTCTTCAGCGTCGTTCAGCACCCAGGGCTGGGATGTGGGGCTGGGGGGGACAAGGAG